GCCCATGGGTGATCATCGGAGACTTCAACGCCCACCATACGCTATGGGGGAGCCCGAAGATCAGCGCAAAGGGTAGAAGTCTGATAACGTTTGCTTCAGACAACGAGCTGTGCTTGTTAAATGATGGCAGCCCAACATTTCTACGTGGCCCTCGATACAGCAGTTGCCTTGACTTGACTTTTGTTTCTCGAGGTCTTGTCAGATGTGCCGGATGGTTTGCGGACATAGAAACACATGGGAGCGACCACATTCCCACATATGTCAAGATCAGAGGACTATCTCCTTGCAAGGTACGCGAAACTATCCAAAGAGTAGACTGGACCAAGTTTGAATCTCTCATGGAAGAACGCTGTCAAGAGAACACCTCATTTGACTTAGAAGAGGTGATCAAGTCCACAGTGCAAGACACAGTGTGCACCCTCACATGCTCTTCGAGAGTAACCGAATTTGATGTGGAATTAGAACGACTTCGGGCTCTCCGACGGCGTGCGGAACGAAGGTACCGACGCACGAAAGCAATCGACGATTTACGAATCGCTAGACGTCTTCAGAAGAAGATACAACGCCGCATAGACAAGCTAGAGTCACAACGTTGGGCAGCCTTGTGCGCTTCGTTAGATCCTCGCAAGCCTTTATCACACTTGTGGAGGACAATAAGAGGGCTCCGGACATCTCCCATTCAGCGGTCTCCATTCAAGGCTCTAGCCCTCTCTCAACAGAGATCGGAGGTCGACGTTGCAGAAGAGTTCTGTGCCAACTTATCTGGTCAACTCGCAGATCCCAACATCTCCACGCTCTCACGCGGTGGCACGACATCACACGATCACCCCATGGACCAATTTTTTTCTATTCATGAGCTTCAAGCAGCACTGGCTTTGTGTAGACGGACATCAGCACCCGGGCCTGATGGAATATCATACAGAGCATTGTGTCACCTTGGTGAGTGTGCGAGGAGTGCCCTCCTCGAGATATACAACGACTCGTGGCGAGAGGGCACCCTCCCAGTTAACTGGAAGACCAGCCGTTTGGTTCCATTACTGAAGCCTGGCAAGTCGCCATTGGTGCTCACATCATACCGCCCGATTGCACTGGCTAGTTGCTTGGGCAAAGTGATGGAGAGGATGGTACTTGGACGGCTAGAATGGTTCCTGGAGCATCACAACATCTACCCGGACGCTATGACGGGATTTCGCCGTGGCCGGTCATCAATTGATAGCGTCATAGACCTGGTCACCTACGTGCAGCACGAAAAAGGCCGTAAGCGTCTCTGCGCTTCTTTATTTCTTGATGTTAAAGGGGCGTACGATAACGTCACACATGAAGCTGTCCTCACCGCTCTCAAGGAGGTAGGAGTGGGTGGTCGGATGTTTCAGTGGATACGCAGCTATCTCTCTGAGCGATCCTTTTTCGTGAGAACCGAGGATGGTGACACTTCGCTACACTACAGCCACCGTGGTGTTCCCCAGGGTGGCATACTTAGCCCTGTACTATTCAACCTGACGCTAATAGCTCTAAATGAGCATCTGCCAAGTACTGTCAGGTTGTCAATGTACGCGGACGACATCTGCGTTTGGACGTCTGCAGTAACACGTCTACAGCTGCGAGCGCGAATTCAGAGAGCTGCCACTCAAGTTGCTATTTACCTCCGTCAACGAGGTCTGGAAATTTCCTCTGAAAAATGTGCACTAGTGGCGTTTACGCGCAAACCAATGCATAACTACAGCGTTCTGATAAACAACGAAAGAATACGTCACCTCAGATCATACAAGTTCCTAGGTGTTATAATTGACAGAGACCTCTCATGGAGCTCACATGTATCATACATGAAAAGGCGATTGACAGGCATCTGTCATTTGTTCAAGTTCTTCGCTGGAAAGAACTGGGGAATGTCCACAACTGCTATGTTGCGACTATACAGGTTTGTTTTCCTTGGATTTCTTCGGTACAGCCTACCTGTGTTAACCAACGCAAGTAAAACAAGCATACGAATGCTTCAAAGTGTCCAGGCTCAAGCACTCCGGATATGTTTAGGCTTGCCCCAAAGTGCATCAACAGCGGCGACTATCGCCATCACAAGGGACAACCTCATCAAGACCCACATTAATGTGGAAGTGCTGAGGACACATATACGACACCTTGCTCGAACCCCTCGACATCACCTAGCCTCTCTACCAGTGGTCCGACCATGCACATCTTACTGCAAAACAGTGACCGCACATGGTGAGTCGATCCCAACTTCGTTCTCTCCTGCCGCTAGACCTGTGACTCCGCCATGGTGCCTCGCTCAACCAATAATTAATATTAACATACCTGGCGTCGAGAAAAAGGCCAATTTGTCGTCACCGGCTCTTAAACAGCTCACACTACTTCTCTTGTATGAGAAATATCAAGACTCCACACATATCTACACTGACGGATCGGTTTCAGCCGGACAGCTCTACAGGAGCAGTAGTGATACCAAGGTTGGCCACGACAATTAAATTTAAGACACCCCACGCAACAACATCAACGGCAGCAGAATTGGCAGCACTTCGTGCCGCGTTGCAATTTGTAGTTGATCAGCCTACGCGCAAGTGGACTATTTTCTGCGACTCGAAGGCGGCACTGCAGTCTCTACTATCAGCCTTACGCCGTGGACCACACGAGCAGCTGGTACTAGAGATAGCAGAGATTATACACCACCTGACTGAGAAAGGGCACCAAATTACATTTCAGTGGTTGCCCAGTCACTGCGGAATCATCGGCAATGAATGGGCCGATCAAGCTGCCCGCTCAGCCCACACAGAAAATCATAAACTGCGACTACCACTTTCTAGGACGGATGCTGCACGAGAGCTCCGCAGACTTGCTCGCCGGCAAACCACATCGCAATGGAATCAGCCGCACTTCAAGCATGCCCGACTGTACTCGCTTGACCCTACGCTAAGTCTTCAAGTCCCGTCGAGGCTTCGTCGAGCAGACCAGACCCTGTTATGTAGGCTGTGGTTGGGCGTTGCATTTACCAACGCCTACGCTTTCCGCATTGGGATGGCCGACACCGCAGCCTGTGGCCACTGTGGCAAGGAGGAAACCATTCAACATGTTCTTTGTGAGTGCCTAGCGTATAGTAGGTGGCGACTATGCCTTCGCAGGGAACTCAACAAATTAGATGATCAGCCTCTGTCGGAGCAGGAAATTCTGCAGTATCGTCAGGATGCGACTTCACAGAAGAGGGCCCTGAAAGCGCTGCTGAACTTTTTGCGATTGACCGGCCTTGCTGAACGGTTGTAGCTGGGACGCCCTTCCAGTGTGTGTTTTCGTTTTTTGTTTTTTTTTTATGAGTGCGCGTGCGTTTTTTTTTTCCCTCCCTCTAACCCCTCTTTCTTGCCCCTACTTCCCCAACCCCAGCGCTGGGTAGCAAACCAGATGCCAATATCTGGTTAACCTCCCGGCCTTTCCTTTCTCACTCACTCACTTGGGCGCATTAAAGTTATGTCAACTTCCATTCATAACACCAATGTAAGAAGGCACAGTACTGTAGAAGTCGCAGTACGATACATATTTAACACTTTGAGCGTTTTCAAGATCCCGTGAGATGATATCTTGGGCATCCTGTGTTTTTAACACAGGCGTTTCACCAGTGCAGCAAAAGTGTGCTTGATGTATGGTTCGTTTTCTATTAAATTTGAATGACATAGATAAAACGCGAAGCGATGTGCAAATGTGGTCATTCAACTATGACGCTGGCATCCGCTTGTACGATTCCAAACATCCGCAAGTACAGCGCTGCATCCGGCCTGCGAGATTGCCATGTATGTGATACAGCTGAACATTCGGTCATGTAGGAGTTAAAAGAGTACCTACTGTATATGCATGTAGATCCAAGCTGGCGTGCTTCCGTGGAGGCGTAATTACCCTCTTTCGGTGCGCAGGCACGACAACGTGAAACGTATCTTTTTGTGCCTCTGCATGTGCGTCTGCATGTGTCACAGAGGCGTCTTGTTTGTTCTTTTGTTTAGAAAGCAGCCATGGCAAAACATTGTAAGCTGCGCTGGCGTGTCGGACTATGGCAATGAGCTCACTGCCTTGACAAGCACGCTGTAAGATATATCTTCGAGCTTATATGAGCAGAATAGTCAGTCGGCAAGTACAGATGGTTAGAAGGTTGCTAAATAAATTGAATACGTAACTGATACCTTCACGAAATGCTGCCCCTGACAGTGTCCGGTTTCCGAAGCTAACAGTGAAGCTCGAGCGCTCCCCGCTCATTTGCGTCATCTGTCCCTCAATCCCGCGGGCTCGCAATCCTGTAGTTATGACTATAGAGCGGCAATGATAAATAGCTCCCAGGCTACTAATTATATTGCTAATGACCCACCAAGCATGCCAGTGGTAACCAATTTCTCTGCAGTAAAAGTTTTCTTTCCTGGCTGCCTTGTGCCTAATAGCTTGCTAGAAGTGAGATTACGGGCGACATATAACGTAAAAGTCACCACGGAAGTGTTTGGAACTTGTGATTCCCACGTGAATATTTGTTTGTGAGGAGGCAACTATATAGCCATCGCAAATTTGATTAATTGATTGAATGATTTCTAGGGTTTAACGTCCCAAAACTACCACATGATTACGAAAGACGCCATAGTGGAGGGCTCCGGAAATTTCGACCACCTGGGGTTCTTTAACGTGCACCAAAATTTGAGTACATGGGCCTACAACATTTCCGCCTCCATCGGAAATGCAGCCGCCACAGCCGGGATTTGATCCCACGACCTGCGGGTCAGTAGCCGAGTACCTTAGCCACTGAACCACCATGCAAGGGCCGCTTTCGCAAATTTTTCTTACACTGTTAGATATAGAGGAGAAACGTAAGGGCGAGAGGTTAACCGGAATATGCGAATTCGGGTGAGGGTGAAGCAAAATAAGAACGATGTAGCAGGAGCAACAGAGCAAGCGTTACGAGTACACACATATGAGTGTTCACCGGGTACATCCGGGATGTGGAAAAAAAAAAATCTACGTACCTGTGAGGAGGCTGACGATCATACCGACGAGTATTGTGAGTCCCGCAGAAGCCAAGACTCCCCAGTTCGACGAGAAACGATACAACGGGAACACATCTGCATCGCTGTAGCAAAAGAGGCGCAGTTTAGGATACCATTTCGCGCATGCCGGCACACTGCGGCCGCGACCTCGCAAAAACCTAATCACCATCGAAGAGGGTAAAGCATGAGTAGAGGTCGAAATAAAAATTGGCATCAGTCTTTCTCGAATTTAGTGGAAAAAAAATCTTTAAACATGTGGTGTCAATGGAGGCACCGTTTCGACAAGCATATACTTGTCTTTATCGAGGCAGCAATTGCTTTCCTTGGAAGCGCTTATGTGTACTCCTTTACACCTCTCTCCCTATGACAGAAAAGAAAGACACGAAGAAAGCAAGGACCGAGAGAAGGCTACATAGCTTGTTCAAAAGACGAAAAATTCTTAGAACACGGGGTGTCGCTCCATGGAGCCCACGCTTGTCGAAACGTCGGCTCCAGTGACACCCCTTGTTCGAAGAATTTTCCCCTTCGTCAAGCTTCTCGTGAACTTCTGCCTTATCTTCAAAAACGTCCCCCTATTATGTGTGTGCACGCGCGAAAAGCTACAGAAAGGTAGATATGAGAGAAGGGAAGGTGTGATGCAATCCTGCATGTGATATGTACGAAAAGTTTTTTTTATGACCGGGTGTTACTTAAACGACGTTATTCTATATGTTGTTTCGAGCCCTGTATTTGTATTCCACTAACTCATAGGCAAGGAAGAACCAGCACTTTTGAATTTGTTATGACATCTCCTGATATTGTACATCATTATATTATTAATAATAACAAATTGAGAAGGTTAAGCATTGAAGCCTCCGTGTGGCCCATGCGCAGGTGGAAAATAATAAAGATATAAAAGAGGAAAAAGGAAATAGTTTGTCTGCTGAATTCCCAGCGCCTGACGGAAGCTTTTGAAATTAAAAGGCTCTTTGTACGTTACCGTTCGTTCATTTCATGTATGACTACCCGTTCATTCTTCGATGAATATTGTGGAAAATTCAATACGGAGATTTAACTATTGCAGAAATGAAAGCACTTCTTCCGTCAATGTAGTGCTTGAGGTGCGACCAGCTGAAGAATAAAGCGATGTAAGGACGTAAGAGACTACATATCTCACGTGACAGCGCTGGGCATAGCAGCAGTTTTGATGCATAACGACAGAAAATTATCGACAGCAAATGTGATCCACCGATTGTCATCCGGTGCCTTAAGGAGACGGTCGTAGATCTCAACACCGACGCGTTCTAGGCGTTTCGCAAGACAAGGAAGCGGTTTTAAGGCATTAAGGCATGCGTAAGACATCCTGAGTAAAGAGAAGGCTGCTCATGCAGACCTCTGTTAGACGGTAAACTTTGATGAAATATGCCTGCATGAGAACCTCAAACGCGAATTAAAGCTTAAATGGGATGCTTTGGTAGCCTATCCATAGATTTGTCCATTTAGGCACACACACTGTTTTTTTTTTTTGCACTGTAGGGTTGGACATGCATGTTCTGCAATGGAAATAGTGACATGCTCAATATTTTATGATAGATTGACGTCGATACTGGCTGCTACAGCACAGTCGCCTGCTTCGGCAGGCACCTAACTCCTTCACAACACGCCAGTCAACGACTGATGAAAATCGAGCTTCAAAAAAAAAAAAAACGAAAAAACTAGGACCTGCTAAACCACCAAACAAAGAATTTGTGGCAGCTTAAGAGGTCTTGGCTATGAGGCTAGTGGCTTTTAGCGTCGCACAACCTTCCGATGATCTGTATCAATACGTGGAAAACTTCTTTCCTGTTTTTCTCTAAACTTCGTGTTAGTGGTTTTTTCCTGCGCGAAAAGTCATCACTTTTGTATGACCCAATATTTTTCACTGACACTTCCAATGCATTTTATGGACATTAAGCTATGCAATCAACTAAGATAATTGTAAACCACCAATACATTTTTATGGCACAAGGTTTTGACTGGAAGGCCACCACCTGAAATTACGCAATTTTGGGTTTTTTCACCCGTAATATATTTAGTATTAATGACTTCACAAATATTCTAGTTTGTTGCGCAGCCTGAATGTACAGCTACATTGTTACCGAGTGATTTTCATTTTAAGTCAGATGATCGGCAGTTATCACCATTCGTGTGATGGGCGTATTTAGGGTAATTTCTATAATAAATTGCGATTACTTGAACGTTTCTTGCCGAAAAATTCTTGAAGTGTCGTTTTACATAGCTTTAAAACAGCCCTTAAACAGCCCTAACACAGGTGCACAATGTGAAAAAAGAAAAACGAACAAGCGTAATATAAATGTCTTTATCTGTCAGGAAAAGCTATTTGCTCTTTGTGCTTCAGACGCGCTTGTCCTCATGGTATATTTTGAAGTCACATCAAGTGATGATAATACTCTGCGACTTGTGCAGTTTCTATGTTAAGGTTTGAGAAACGTAACGTGCAATTTTTGGTTAACAAATGGTTGTGTTCGTCAGCGAAAATAAAATAGTGGAAGATATACTCATGCGTATTTGAATTGATAATTTTTTCAAAGGTTGACTTCCGTTTAGACCTTCAGCGTTATAAGTGAACCTTTATTAACGTGCTTCTTTTTTTTTTCAATGTAAGGGGAGAGAAGTCCTACCTGTGAGCAGCGGAATAGGATGATGTATGCATCGCGTCTACTGCCATAGTTGAGTTAGTGGGGCAGTAGTCCGTGCTGACTGGCATCATGGGTGCTCGGATACCATAATAGATCTTTCCAAACATTTGCCAGAACTGCAGGGCCGTTGTGAGGAGTGTGCCTGCAACCACACCCTGTTGGAGAGATTGTAAATCAAGATAGAGCAAAGCAACGCAAACAACTAAAAACAAGGAGCTGATTGTCCAACAATTCGTTTTGATAAGTTTTCTCATTGGTCAGCCGGCTTCCTAATTAAATGCTCCGCATGGAAATTAGCTGACGTTTTCGCGAGTAGAGGCTTAGAATCTTGACCAGGACACATAAAAATTAATGTTAGAAATAACTTTCAGATTACCTTGCTGTTCGCCCATGGGAATAAGAAGGCCAAGAGAAACATCCCGACAAATGGACCGGAAGCTCCGTTGTGCATAACGACGACCACCTGGTGGCGAAAAAAATATAAAGGACACCTAAACATTTCTACTGCTCCTCCCTAGTGTCTCAGTCGTAAGATCCCGTACTCACGTGAACTGCTGATCCAAGGTAGGGCACTATCATTGAATAGATAGTCATGATGATTCCGAAGAGAAACGCTGCAGCAAGAAGACAGGGCTTTAGTTATACGTAGATTACAGCAAACCCTGGCAAGCCATGCCTTCAATGCGAGACAAGTTGTTAGTTTAGTGCGGATTTCATGAGCTTCGGACCGACGTCAAACCCGAAATTTTTATGCTAGCGTTAGAGATAATTGGTGAATGCCGTGAAATGATAATAAAAACAAAGAATATGTATGAACAGGAAAACATTCGAACAAACAATAACTTTGGAGGTAACGTTTCCACGAGGCGATTTGTCTTAGTTAGAACAGCACCTATAAAGTCCGAAACACGGACAGTGTCAAAGAGGATTGGTCTTATAGAAAGTTACCTCCACAGACATCGCTTGTTGATACTACTGTTGATAAATACAGCGTTAAATGCAAAGTTAGCGGCAAACAATGGGCTCGTGTAGTAATCAAATGTATGCATATTTATTGAAATTCGTTGGCGGGCTTATTAGTTACAGGCTACACTGAGTGAATAAGACGCATAACGAACGAGGAAGAAAGGATAGGGAGAAGCCGTCCACCTTGTTTTTTATGGGGAAGGGGGGGGGGAGTTAACCTGCTGTGGCAGCTTAGCAGGCTTAGGTTTCGCTTAGCTAAGCTCGGACTTGTGGTTTTCATTGTTTTCAAATAGAACACTTGTATACTGTGATTTAGGTGCAAGTTAAAGGGCAACAGGTGGTCGCAGTAAATTCTCAGAAGACTTCTGTAAGGCATGCCTCATCTCACAACACTGAGAAGCCAAAAACCTAACAACGAAACCAGAAAGAATATAGGGCATGTGCAGGAAACGAGAGAAGCCCGAAGAACCAATCATGGGCCTCGAAATAATAGCTTGAGTTCCCAACAGCAGCTACAAGGTGCCGAAAATGTCTGATAATACATTCAGTCAAGCTAACGCAGAGGAGCGTCGTTCAAGTGGAGACTGTTAAATGATGCCCACCACCTTCTTCGAAGGCACACTAAAAGAAAAAAAAATTAAGTGGACATGGGTTGTCTAAAAGACAACCCATGTCCACTTATTAGACAACCCATGTCCAGACACTTTGCAGTGCTTGTTTCAACCAAATGCGTCATTCGAAATAAAATCGCGTTTTAGTGGTACTGTTAACGCAATTCGAAACCCACGACTCCGACAACGGCCTAACGGTGTAGCATTCAACATGCCCACACGGCCCGACTTTAGACACTGCATCGCAGCCTTGCAAAAGATTCACCAGCGCACAGACCAACGAAAACCAAACCTGCGTCGTTCTCAAGGGTAACATCGGGTTCCTTCTTGCTTGAATTTGACTACAATTCAAAGGTTCTACTTCGTTCCGTCTTGTAATAGAATAAAATTTCCCTTTTGTCATGCTTAGCTTGGATACTTGTGATTAATTGTACTGCATCACAACTACGTCCTCCGACTTGTTTTTTCAGAATGCCCCACTGATGGCGCCAATCGTGTCCTCCATATACCTTAATTATATTTATGCTGTGTCTGCCCTGTCTCAAAGTGACTTGCTACTTACTTAAGTCAGGAAAAATCACGGAACGCTGAAAATTTTAGATTCTCTTCATTAACCACACTACATCTAGAAGTAAGCTGGAAAAGTGATCAATGACAAAAAAAAAAAAAGTCCACAACCGTAAACGCACCCAGTCCCTTCGTGAAGTGGCTGGCCGTATGATTTTCGAGTTTGACGAACATAGAGACCACGTCCATGTAGCACACAGCTGCTTGAGAATTGATAATGGATGATACTGTACTGCAAGGACAATAAAATTAGTGTGTTTTATATACCACCCATTGACTGACAGCTATTGAAAGAAGAAACACAAAAGAGCGGTCTTTTGTTGTTCCGTGAAGTTCTTGTGTAATACCTTGTGGCCGCACTGACGACACCCGTCAGGAAAAGTCCAGAAAAACACGGGAAACTGAAGAGGTGTTCCTTGACATAGTAGGGCAAAATCTGAAAATAAGACATAACTTAGAATCCGCTTTTCTTGATTTGTGGGGTTTAACGTCCCAAAACCACCATATGATTATGAGAGACGCCGTAGTGGAGGCTCCGGAAATTTTGACCACCTGGGGTTCGTTAACGTGCACCCAAATCTGAGCACACGGGCCTACGACATTTCCGCCTCCATCGGAAATGCAGCCGCCGCAGCCGGGATTTGAACCCGCGACCTGCGGGTCGGCAGCCGAGTACCTTAGCCACTAGACCACCACGGCGGGGCAGAATCCGCTTTTCTGTAGCCCTCCACCATGTCACGCAATATGTAACAGAGTCGCCGCCATTTTGATGATGCAGAAGCGCATATCTAAAGGAGTTATCATATACATCAAAACTCAGATATATTGAATACGATTCAATCGATGTATTCTTTAAATCAAACTATATCTCAACGTGACAATGCCGTCAATTCAGGACGCCCCGCCACGGTGGTCTAGTGGCTAAGGTACTCGGTTGCTGACCCGCAGGTCGCGGGATGAAATCCTGGCTGTGGCGGCTGCAATTTCCGATGGAGGCGGAAATGTTGTAGGCCCGTGTGCTCAGATTTGGGTGCACCTTAAAGAACCCCAGGTGGTCGAAGTTTTCGGAACCCTCCACGTCGGCGTCTCTCATAATCATATGGTGGTTTTGGGACGTTAAACCCCACGTATCAATATCAATTCAGGACAAAATGTAAGGCTACGGAAATTGGCTGCCTCTCTGCGTGCTTCACTGCAAATGTCGTTGAAAGACGATGGTCATCTGCTGTCGAAGCGGCCATTTATCATTTGTCTTGCCTCGGACAGCGCCTCCTCCGTGTTGAATCGGCCAAATCTGGCCGGCATTGATAAAACAGAGGAGGCACTGCGTGAGATATAGACGCCATCTGCCAGTGCTGTCGGAAAACTTGAGCTTGTGCAAAACCCAGGGCCACTGACAGGTGGCCGTACCGTATCGCCGGCAGAGCGCTTTTTCCTGCATAAAGTTCCATTTTTAGCGCCGAAAGAAAAACACTGGGGTCTCTAGAAGTTCGTATCTATGTTGTTTCCAGCGAAGGAACACACCACCTAATACTTACGTATTCATTTTGCGCATAAGATATGCGTACTATTTGCGTTTTGATTGGTAATGTTCACAAGTATGAACGCAGCCACCAGTTAAAGATGGCTGGGCGTTCAGCAATTGCTTATGCTTTGGCCGGCATATGCAATTGCTTATGCTTTTAATCGTGTGACAGACACACGGACAGAACAAAATTTTTGCGTTGAAGTATCCCAAGAAAGACTATTATCTTTAAAAATAACCGGACAACCTCATACACTGCTTATCAAGCAGCGTGAAAGGCCCGAAGAATATGGCGTTTTCTCAAAAAAAAAAAAAAAAAACACTGGCTTTTTCTCGCGGAAGGAGGCTTTGCCGCACGCGTGTCGAGATGTGCTAGAGGCTTCCGAAGCCTGGCGAGTAGACACAGCTGCGAATCAATGTATGGAGGCGCTGTTTTATTGATACTCTATTTAACTGCAGAAAAAATGAAAACTAAAATAAATCCACTCGCATCTTCTAACGGGGGGGGAGGGGGCGACTCGAGCGATTGCGTCTTAAAAGGGGAAGTACATCGCGTGAATTTTGCGTAATTTGGGAATGTTCAATTGTTGTTGCGTCTTATAATTTTTGAATGAAGGAGAGCGTTGCCTTCAACGAGTGGTGGGACGCTAATGTTTGGTTGCTCCCCACTACTGGTTGAAGGTACTGTTGCTTTCATCAGCAACGTCGTGCGACTCGAGTCAGGCAAAGCGTCAAGTCAAGCGAAAGCCAAGTAAAGACGCCCTTGACTTAATTCCGAACGTGCGCTCCGCCGCTTATGTACACACCGCCCGCGTTCGAAGGAGAGGAGAATGTGGAGAGCTCCACAACCACACTGCGCATGGTCGGCTTGCCGAACGCCCGGTGGTATGGCTCCTGCAGCGACAGTTTTGCGGGTGTCTTCCTGTGCCGACAGGAAAGGCGAACATGCGACACGAGGCGCGAGACGCGAGCATGCGCAGTGGGGGTGTAGACGGCACCGCCGGCGCCGAAGCGCGACAACGTGCGACTGAGAAGTGCTCCGCATAAAAAAAAAAAGACATCTGAATTACAGTGACCCAACGTTGTGCCGTGAAGACAACTTACACACTGAAGCTGGCTCAAGGAGTATGATGAATTCTAAAAAAAAAAAATGAATTATTCGATGTACCGAACTAAATCGCGTCTTTTTTTTGCAAGTTATATGTATGCGTCTTTTACCGTATGGCGCCCAAAAGGTACCAGACTTGCTCGAAGAGCTGCCGCAATGTGATAAACTCTTGCGTGGTAAAGCCATTGCTTGCTCGCGTAGAAAAAGCGTCCAAGAAAAATTGCCTCAAGGCCAAAAAATGTTACCCGTATTGCAGTGTATTCGTATAATTTATAGTCAGTAAAGGCTCTGACATTATTCACATAACAAGATTACTTGGATGGCTAAGTTTTGACTGCATCTGTTTCTGATGATGTTTGACATAGATACGGTGCAAAACTCGCCAGCTGTAGTTGATGATGCTGTGCTTGAGTCCGCAATAGTGTCTATTTGGTTCTAAAAAAAATGTGAAAATAGCATTACCGGAGTGGCATGCATGCCATGACATGAAATGCGTTGTATAAATGAGATAGCATGAATGACAAGCGTGCATCACATGAATGAAAAGGTATTAGTGATATGTCCCAAAAAATAAATACCATTGCCTGTCATAGAATGTAAAAAATAAAGCACGCAGTATGCATACATGACAGGACACGAATATTATTGCAAGAACAAACTAAAAATAGTGGTGTGTAGCTTGTACTGGTGGCGCAATTCGAAAGACACAGCTCAGTGTATCAGTTTGTGGCTGTCCCTGCCCATACGAAGGGATGCTAAGTGAAGTTCAAAACGACGAAAAAATTGACAGATCTTATTTACTTTAGAAATCAATGATATGCGAGGCAATCCTAAAGAAGTTTGCTATGTGGCAGTTTTAAAATGAGCACAGCTAACGAGGTGGTCGGATCTACTACACTCCGCAAACATATGCAGATATTTTGTACGCATGCACATATCAAAATACGTGAAAACGTAAGTGGTTGTTTATAGTTGCGTAACTATGCGATATTTAACGTGGACACTACCAGCACCAGCAGCGATAGGCTAAAATGTAGTTCTTAGTCCGTGATGTTGGTTCCACGAAGCGTAATGCTGAGACATAGGCTGATTTATTTATTTATTTTTTGCTTGAGGGAAGTGTTACGGAGTGTATCAACTTTAAGTACAGCGGTTATGTGCATACTGTGGGCTTACCTCATACGTGCACTGCACCGGCACCTGCTGGTCACTACTTGGTAATTTATGGTCTTACATAATGTGAGCATTCATCTTAGTGTCAGTATTATCAAAGCGAAGTGCACTTTACGGCTTGACTACTTGAATATCTCCCGTAACTTTTGTGATCTCATTGCCCCGTGGTCGAGTAAGATTTGAATATAGCTTGCTGAATCATAGGCATAAAAGTGTATTGTTTGACTGCTATGTAGTGTTAGACTGCTAAAAGTGTAGTGTTAGACTGCTCTAAATGTGTAATCAACATTGAAACCACAACTGACGTTTACGCAGCATGACGCCTGTATCCTAGGTTTACACACATGTTTATTGCTTTGCTATAAAGTTACATATCCAGCCCTTCAATCGCAATTGACGTTGCACCGAACTCACGCCTGTGCAGTGTCTCTTTTCAAAGCAAATTGAAAACCTGGCTTGACTATTTGGTAGAATACCTGATTGCTAAGCTGAGTACTTGGGTTCAATTCCTGCTGATACCTTGATTTTTTTGTTTGCATTCATCGGTGTACGCTGTGGAAATCACATTCTCTTACGCTTTCACATTTAAGTTACTGATATATGTCCTCACCGTACGAGGTAGGTATAAACAGTCAATCAAATGTAGCGCATACCAGTACACTATCGGCCGTGGTAAATGGGGATGCGCCACAATTGACTGGAGGAAAAGCGTTTAATGACGTACGTGACAGTATTTTGAAGGTGTTCGTGTCGTCTCCAGAAAGTCCTATTCGTCAAACTTTCTTACCCTTCTGTACCAGTCTTGGTTTACACTAAATTAAAAAGGCAATCTCAAAAGCACCAAGATGGAGGCACATAGATAGATAGATAGATAGATAGATAGATAGATAGATAGATAGATAGATAGATAGATAGATAGATAGATAGATAGATAGATAGATAGATACTAAAGTGCCTGCAGTCTACTAAGAAATGCTTCGCACTTAAAATTGCTGAGCAGCAGTTGTGTGCTGGAACCGATGTTTCGATAAGGGGACTTGAGATATTCAATGTCTTAGAGACAAAAACTCACTTGCGAAAACGTTGGCTTGTCGATACGTATGCAGCCGTAAGAGGCATTGACAACCAGAAATATTATACCTCATCGTACTTCTTGATTTCGCCAGTCAATACGGGATCACAGTCTCGGTACCAGTATATCAAGGCCATCGCCATCGCTCCAATGACAGTCATGTAGATAATGTTGAGGAAGACTCCTATGCACATCGTCCTGCAAAACGTTGTTAGAGTGTTAGATATTAACTTAGCCAATTTAGCGGAAAGAAGGCACAATTTCAAGGGAAATTGATGTTCTAACGGTGCTTATGCATAGTAACTACATGTAACGCTATAGTAGCGCGCCCCACCTTTGGGATCTCGTTTTACCACCGGGCCACACACGCATCTTGCCTTTACATCTCGCACAAAGGGCTTCGTCTCCCCGCCCCGTTGTTTTTTCTGACTAAGGCGTCTTACATGGAGACATGCATATGCGTCATGATGTAGAGCTCGAACATTGACATACGTTAGGCATGCTAAAGTGAAAAGCGCTGTTGCGACAGGTAAATGGCTTTAAAAGAGTTAAACCAAGAAGGGTAGCCCCGCCGTGGTAGTCTAGTGACTAAGGTACTCGGCTGCTGACCCGCAGGTCGCGGGATCGAATGCCGGCTGTGGCGGTTGCATTTCTGATGGAGGCGGAAATGTTGCAGGCCCGTGTGCTCAAATTTGGGAGCACGTTAAAGAACCCCAGGTGGCCAAAATTTTCGGAGCCCTCCACTATGGCGTCTCTCATAATCATATGGTGGTTTTGGGACGTTAAACCCCACATATAAAACCAAGAAGGGTAATGATGTGGCTAGAAGGCGGATAAACAGAGCTGTTCGTAAGTGCACAAGTTCAAAAGATCTGTGACATGACCACTTTAATGCATCTTTGACGAAAGAAAACCTACTCACAAAAATACAAAGATGGTAGATGCAGATCACAGCGATGTATGGGTGTTTTACAGCGAAGCTGCATATTGTTAGATGGGCAAAAAGTGTGGCGAGTTTATAAGCGCGCATAAGCTCTAATGAAGGAGGAATGCTAACATGCATTACCTAGAAGGGTCTCCACGTTTTAATCAGGTTATACTCAGTTTTGATCCAGTTATACAGCTAGAGATTACACCCGCTGCAGCATGATTACTACCCGGAAAACAATTTTGAAGTTCCTAATATCTTTTAAGCTAACAGGTACCAAACGAAAACTTAAGTACGAAAGTGCACATTGGCTGTTGATTGTGAGGCCGCCAGCGATGGCAACCTCACAGTCAGCAGCGAATTTATTCGCCCATGGAAGTGCATTTTGTTAAGGATTCACTCTACATATGCTGTTTGCTACGCTGGAGATACATTCCTCGCTGCTTACCTTGTTTAGGTCACAACAACTAGTCATTTATGCTTCAGCGCTTCGTTCAGCAAAGTGCAAAACATTTTCTATCCATTTACGAAATAGTTACGAAACCATGATCATTGCCCATTCGATAACACTGGCATCAAAGTAGTGTACGGAATTTCCCGACTGATTACACTGAACGACCGGCACCTCGGAGGCGTGAAGAGCTATGTCTTGAACCACAAATATCGTAGCAGGCAATACGATGCTTTCTGACAGCTCAAGAGCGAGCGCCCTGGCGACAGTGGACGCGTCAAAAATGACAAGACAGCTTTCCTGTAGTTACGTGCAGTATAGCGTTTCACGCGTTCGGACAGGTCCGAACTAGAGAGCAGACGCCACTAGCGAGAGTGAGAGAGCACGTCATCTCGCCCTTCCAACATAGACAAGACCTAACCAGCGCCTCTGCGTTGGTCAAACATCCGAAATGCTACACTGCGTGTAACAATTATTGCAATGACGCTGACTTTATGGGACATGCAGACGCGCATGTGCGAGACAATATGACAGCGTCGCGCTCCGTTTTGGCAAGTGTTTTTACGCGTTTTACGGGTCATCTTTTAACTCATTCACTGCACTTTTCCAGCACATATACTATCACAGCTCAGGCACACAAGCGCTCAAAGAGTACGGTGACATAATAATAATAATAATAATAATAATAATAATAATAATAATAATAATAATAATAATAATAATAATAATAATAATAATAATAATAATAATAATAATAATAATAATAATAATAATAATAATAATAATAATAATAATAATAATAATAATATTAATAATAATAATAATAATAATACATTGATTCCCGTCCTATTGAGTGCTTTGAAGAAAAAGTGTAGTAATAAGACTCTATCCATTTGTCCTGTGTTTTGTTCTGATACCGTACACACAAAGAACTACATGGAGTGCCTCAGCTTCGCGCATAACTTTAGCACTTAGTTGTGTTGCGCTGAGCTATTCCATCAACAAATCATTTTTAAGTCAAAGTCGATCATTCAGCCGGTATAGCAATGAATTACTGCATTCTAGGGTAATATGCTGCATACCTTTGCGCCTCCTTGAGGCTCCTGGATGCCATGTATCTCTGGACGACGCTCTGATCTATGCCAGTGCGAAGTAGATTGTGGACGAGTAGGCCAAGAAAGCAAGACCAAAAGTTTTCATCATTCGTGAAGTCGAGGTTCATCCTGCGGTACATGCAATATACGTCACATTTCGTTAACTGTACTTTCGGAAACCACGAGCACATACTATTCAGCTAGTCACGCATTACGTGGTCACTTTGCGATGTGATCTGTGCACAGACATTTTGATTTTCCTGCTTAACTTTAGAATTGCTCCCTGCATGGCTATTTGGTGTTTAGAGGGGCCATTAAACACTCTCACGAGCAACCGTCAAATGCCGTCATTAAAAGAGCTTGTAGCGTCATGAATCGACCGCCGCAGAAATTTTTATAATCCGTCAAGTACGAGCGCAGGTGCAGGGATTTGCCGCACCGCTTTCTCTCCCCTTTCGTACCAGCGAGCGTGGTGGAAGCTACGAAGGCAATTAAGGAGATTACAAGGAGTCAAGAAGAAGCGTCCCTTCGTCAGCGTGTGCCCAAACCTTGAGTACTTTATTTTCATATTTATGCCAATCCGTTGCTTACTCTCGGTTATGTATACTGAAAGCCGCAGAGGACTTCTATACCGAACTACCTAAAGTTGTTCATACAAACTTTGGTGAAATGAAAGTCTAGTAGGATACTGACGTTGAAAGTGTAACTATGGATTATTTTAGAAAATCCTTGCGATACATGTCCCACGCAAATTATGCGTGAGTAGATGGAACAACCGTGAATATTAATAAATATGGGGAGGATTCAGAATCTTATGCAGCTTGGGACACTCTATAAACAAAACGTTAAGTAAGCCCTGCTGCAACATTCTATGCTATCGCAGAATACCTTGCTAGTACACTTCGTTGTTTTTCTCGCTGCAGCCATTATTTCAGCCCCTCAATAAAACAAGTATCTGGACCTCCCATAATGAAGAATATGATTGGCATGACTTGGATACTAGCAAAGTAGATTGGTTTTACCCTATACTATAGCCGCAATATTAAGTGCCATGCATGCCTGGTGCGCCGCATAGCGCCGTAAGCAGCGGGGCGCCATCTCTCGAAGGAGATGGCAATCAAAATTTTAGGCAATCATCACGTCAAAACTACTGCCTCTGCGATTAGCTCCAACTGCGTGCAGCCGATGGCGTTAATAAGAGCAGACACGTGGCGCTGAGGTTCAAAAGAAGAAATGTATGGTGCCCTGTACCAACCTTTGGAACACTGCTATTTGAGAATCAGAATAAATTTTAGTGCATTTAGTACAAAGGTTACATAGTGATAAAATGCAGAATGAGGTCGCAACGTAGAAGACAACAACGGGACGTTCTTTTCTTCAAAACAAATAGGAAAAAGAGGTTACAACATAAATACTATATGCATTTATGAAATGTGTGAATAAAAATGACTGAAGTTGAACAAAAATCAATTAGACTATAGAAAAGAGTACACAAAGTAGCAAGAACTAGGTCAACAATAACAACGCACAATCCACAAGATTAGGAAGATACTTGGAAATCTGATAACGAAGATACCTAAAGTGACTTGAATTTGTAAGTATAACTTCTCCGTTGTACACCCAACTTCCTTCGCTGCCACCGTTTAGGTAACCTTTTCGGGGACTAGGTCAACCTGCTTACAGCTTTAGTGATGGTGTGAAAAAGCCGCGAGAAGAACTATGAAGAAATCTTTCTGTAGTTTGTTTTCGCCGTAACTATCTGATGCGATGTGGTTTTGTACCAAAGGCTAGCGGCCAGAGATCAAATATTTTAAGACTGTTCGCTGAGTGCTCGGAGGTTCACGTCTTTTTGTACTCGCATGATGCCCGGCTGTCTCGTCGTACTGCTTCTATAACGACGCTAACCTTTTGCTCGAAACCACTTCGAGGCCGCTGAAAGCATTTCATGCTTAAAACGAAGTCTGTACGAGCGCGCTCTTTTGCAACTGAACAGAGTATAACTTGGTTTTGCTTTTTCTCCTGGTATGTTAAAACCGAACACATGTTTGACCTGTACAAAAATCTCGTTTCATTATTTAAGGCATGAGGCAGTGGCTGGCATATTTCACTGCTATTTTTATAGCTTGCAGCAGCTATGATAGCGCTGTCTTCCCTTGATAACCGTTATCCGGTTTAGTGTATGGAAACAAGGAAGTATTTTTGCACGGGTGAAAAATCAGTTCATGTGCACACGTTGGTAATGCAGCTGGAACATTTCCGCTCCGGGGAAGACCAAAAGTTTTACTTCTTATATTTGCAGTTTTGGGGGTCGAGTGTGAGCAAGTGTCCCATTTCTTATTGTGCGGCACTTCATAGAAAACACACTTTGCGGAGGGCTAGCTGTGTATAATGGTCGGAATGTTGTTACCTATTTTTTTTTTATTTTGACTGTTTTGTGCGCACTTTCTTTATTCACTCGGTCTCGGTGATATGGCACCGAGGCGGTGCTGACAATGTTGGTCCCAGAGGCTACATCTCTTGGTGATCGTCAGTTAAATATACAAACGTACGAGCGTCTACAAAAGTCACCCCAACCCTCATAAACAAGGGCACTTTATTCATTTAGAAACCTTCGATGCATAAATACAAACCAAATATATATCTGCATCAGAGAACACAAAAGAGGTAAAACTTTTTGCCCTGTTTGTTTGGGCACACAAGTCATTGTTTTATGCATTGAACACTTCAAGATGAACAAAGAACTACAGTATTATTGGGAATTTTTATGTAAAATTAGCATCATACCCCGACCTAATTTATGACTTTTACACAATCACTTGTCGGTTATGCGGATACCTTATGTCAGTAAATGTTTCTACCGAACGGTGCATTAGAACATAGACACCTTTCACGTTATCGCTTATAACGAGGGTTATGCTGCTAAGCAAAGACATTTTTTATGATAACTCTTTTATTTCCAATAAATAACTACTTTACATATTCGGATTTCTCTAGAACTATTGTTGATTGGAGTAACCTAGCCATTTATATCGTAACGCAACATTTGTTTTCTTTGCTTGAAAACTGCTTTTAATAGTTCTGTAGTACAAATGATTAAATGTATGTTTCATTCCTTTCTTTTTGTTGTGCTATCTTAAAAAATTTGATTACTTATCCGACCGAATTTGCTCCTAAAAATGAATATTCTCTTCTTGTTTTTCTTCGGTTTGATCTAGTATTTCACATTTTAAGACTACGGTTCACTATTTATTCCTTGGTATCTTTGGTCGGATCTTTAGTTTTATTGTTTTACCTGTATGCATGATAATATCGCGTCACTTATTTTCTTACGTGAGTTCATTGTCGTGCTTTTTATTACCATTTACCTTCGTTTCACGCCTTCAACACTTTCTGTTTCAAACTGCACGATAAATAAATAAATAAGTAAATAAGTAAATAAATAAATAGATAAATAAAACAGCATTGTGCGGGCATGGTGGCTTACCTGAAAGCGTACTCCTTCATGTTTATGTCACTCAGTGGCCTTAGCAAGACATCCATACGTCTCGAGTCGTAGATGATTTTTCCAATGACTGTCACAGGTGCCATCAGGATTAGGATGGCCTGCACACAGTCTGTCCACACTACGCCTCGAAGCCCGCCCTGCAGAAATAATTGCGACGGACCATCGTTGTTAATGATTCACTCTTTCCGATGTTCCTCACTGATTTGTAAAAGCGTGGCGAAATGTCAAGTAGTTATTTGTAGATGTTTCTTCTCACAATTTTGGATGCACTGGACGAAAACTGACGACTGTGTAACCGCAACACACCAATAGAAATTGCAATTGTAAGGACCACGCATCTCGGCATTACTTTGTGTCAGCATACATAGAGAAAAAAATACTACTGCGCTAAGTGGATGACGACACGAGACGACATGGACGAGGTGCCAAGTCAAGTAGTGAGCCATCTAGCTCAGCAACGTATAGTGTTTAACGACATGGTTGCAAGTTTACCGGTCTCACAATGTCGCAATAGGGGCCGCAATGTGGCTTGTAGCTACTATTCGATTTACTGCTTAAGCAACGTCCTCCAGCTCGCGTAGTGAAGTTCTTTCTTCTTCTCTCTCTTTCTTATATATATATATATATATATATATATATATATATATATATATATATATATATATATATATATATATCACGAGATGGATACTTAAGATGGTAATGCAAAACACTTTGAGCATGGCCCCAAAACGCTGCCGATTGCTAGTAGAGGCTTCCTAGAACACGCGGCCTGCAATACACAATAAATTCACAAAGTGAGCTAAAATTGCTTTCTCTTTCAATAAATGGTGGAGGAAGCTCATAAATTACTCGTGGCTGATTTGAACATGGCGTGCTTGGTCGTTACAGGGATCACCGCGAAAGGCTGCGGGGGCCCGCGGCTTGTCCAACGCATGCACGCATGATCATACTGAAAAAGCGCTGAATTCGAAGAAAACAAAAGAAAAAGTGCTCAAGGTCACGAGGCGCGTGGGATGTATATTTTTTTTTCATGCCATTCCCCTTCCCCCTCCTACTTAGTTTCCAGTGCTTTCAATGAGACGAGAGAAGGGGGAATGCGATTGAAGCATGCGACAAATCTCAGTAACTCCGTTGGTACTGGGCGCAATGTTAAAAATTTTCCGGCATTCAATTTTTGCGGGAATGAGCTCTTTCAGTGAATACATTCCATTTTTACTTGAAAAAGTGTTTCAGGGCCCCTTTAAAAGCCTGAAGTGACCATGACCAGGAGGGTCTGCACTTTTGCAGTTAGTTAGCCGGTAACGCTTCTGTGTTCTTAGTAGTTCGACAATAGGTCATCAATGAAACACAAGAGTAATGCTGGCTCCTAGGTAGTTCAGAAGAAGATATCGAATCAACGCCATATTTGGTGGCTAGTTTGATGCAGTTCATTGTCTTCTATTCGACAGTTGGGCATGTACCACTCGCTGTAGCGCGCATTCTTTTTCATTCCTTCAGAATGAACGACCATGCGCCATCGTGGTGCAAGAGATGTAGAATTCACACGAATGTGCTTATTTGCAATATCTCGTCGTTCTCTTTCCCCATACCTGTCGTACTCGCGAAAATGGTGACTGTAGAGGCGTTGCACAATGAATATCCTCTCTCTTTGTATTCGCACCTGACATAAATAAAACGAGCGTGGCAATGCATAAATGATTTTTTGTTATGACAGAGAACATTATGTTTAAACCTATAGGGTGTGTGTTAAAAAACAGCATCAGGTTATACGCTGCATACGATTGCTTTAAGGATAACTATACACAACTCCCTTCGTTCCATACAAAGCGTTTCATTGAACTTTTGTTTTCCATGGTTGTTTCCCTTGGTCCTACGTCAAAATCAGGTGCCGTATTCCCAAAGCTTTCTTTTAACTACGCATTTTCTTTAGCCGAGAATTCTCTTATCTCAAGGGATTACGATAGCGCGAGTACGAATTTACCTTATTCGGCACTAAAGAGGGTGAGGACAACACACGATAGGCGATGAAACGACAAGGAAAGAAAGAAGTGTGTGCCGATAATATCAAGGTAGCACGCAAAGCGTCTAGCATTGAGAGTAAACAATGATAGCCAATGGTTTGCTGCAACTCAGTTTCAGATCCGCGGGCGTCTGCTACAGCGCTTACGCGATGCCGCGTTGTAATAGACGTCTTGGTGTGCTGTGTGCTGTGCAAAGCCAAACATTCGCGTTTCAATAATGACCATGGCGAAAAAAGAAGTTCGTCGATGGCCTTAACCAACAACTCATGCACTATCTCGCCAATTACAAGTGAACAACATTCCAGGTGCACCACATCAAAGAAACCACGCAAAAATTGATGCATGCAATGTTTGAAAATGTGGCCTGAATGTCTTCCTCTGTTTAGTGCGATAGGTTACCTTACATTTTAATTAAGCTGCACTGCTACTCAGGTAATCTGGTGTAATCGAGCATGGTATAGTGGTGACCGTAGTGGTGTTTTGCAGCTGTACGTAAAAGATTTCTTTTCTTACAATAAACTTATTGCAAGACACAGGATAGGTTTTTGTGCCTGAGAACAAATTCCGCAGAAACTGTGAACAGCAGTAATCACATAAAATTGTGAGTTCAATATCGCAGGTTCCATGCACCACAGCATTTTTATAAAGCCGGAATGCGAGAACGTGGACATGTTTACGCTTAGATATGTGTCTACGTAAAACGAGGGAGACTCGTCAGGAGGTGTTTCAGTGCTAATGCTTTTCACGAAACACGGTGCAGTTATTTCGTCCAGCGGTGTGTGAGTGAGCCAACAAAGCAAGGGACGTGTATGCGAGTCTTGAAGTCAAGAGACGTTACCACTTGCGTGAAAAGTACAAAAAGAGAGAGAAACAGACTTTCGTTTTGTCTCAGCGAAAGCCTGAAATCGAAGTGACAGTTATTTACGACTATTTTCTGGCCCCGCAGACGTCAGGGAAAGTTTCCGCAAAGCAGCGTCAAATGCGTGAAGAGCATAAAAAAGTAGAGTAAGCGTTTGGATTCAGAATAGTTCATAATTCATAATTCAGAATTCAGAATTGTGAATTCAGAATCGTTATTAGCGTTGTCATACGCCGATATATTCTTATTTATATTTGGTAAAATATGGGAAGGTAACGTAATTTAGAGCCGGCTATCCCAACATCCTGACAGTGATGTACAAGATAAGTAGCGCACAGCTATACAGCCACATTTTGTGATTTCTACCTTCTAGCAACCTTGGGCGAACGCATTCTAATTGTTTTCTATTTCTTACCAAGTTTCACTGGACATTGTGCATTTTGCGTCATTTGAAGCATTGGCAATATATTAGCGATAGGGTAAACGCTTCAGTGGCAAGCTCTCATGTCAACCGCTGCAGCAGTGGACGAGTGTTTACAGCGTTCAATTACAAACTAGGAAATACTGGGTTCGATTCGCAGTGTCACCGAGCACTTTCTTTAAAGGTTTCCCAGCCTGGGATTATGCGTGGTGGAGGGTACTCATTTCTTGAGAAGGTGGCTTTCGTGCTATTTTCGTTCACTCCCCTTTTGACCCAAAAGCGCTGTGCCATGCTCCCTCATGAATTACAAAATTTAGGGTTCATATTGTTACGGAAGAGAAGAGATGCGTATCGATGAGGCCGTGTATGAAATATATTTCAAACCAGCAGCAGCGGCTTGACCAGTTGACCAGACACCAAGCGGAGACCACTCTTCGTCAGGCACACACGCGCATCGTACCACAACATGTCAACATGCATGTACCAATATTTTCACCCTTCATTCCCTGTTATCGCATGAGTTCCCGGTGCCGAAATACCAATATCATACCTTATATATTACTTTTCACGGGTTTGGATATGCGACCAGTGATCAGTCATCCCGATGTTTTGAAGAAAATCTAGACATGCAGTCAGCTAATTGCTTGCGGCCAAGCTGACTGCCTTTGTCGGGACACGTTTTTGTGCTAATTTGGTGGGAATCTTTACATGCAGCAAGACAAAAGACTACAGACACATAGAGAAGACACAGAGTGATTAGTTTTTGTATTCTTTCTCGCTACCTGTCATGTTGTGCGCTTCAGTGTAAGGCCACTGTCAATGGTTAAAATCAACTATAGCAGCTAATCGAGTTCTGCTGAGAGGGTCCCCGATTGTCCAGAGCGCAACAGAACAATGTAAATCGATTTACGTAATAGAGAGATGCTCGGCTTTTGGTTACTACAATAAATTTTCTAACCGAAGTTCATGTTTATTAACAACAGTTCCAGTATAGATGAAAGGTGCATAGACAAAATCTGTGTATTCAGCTTGACTAGGTTTTTGCCCTAATAGTGATTGCCAACAGGTGTCACAATGTGCATAAATATCACACACATATACAACTACGGGTGATAGTTTGTGTATATTGATTGAATTTGATATGTTGAAATCGACACATTCAACCAACGCAATGTGTACAAGATATGCCATGTAGAGGAGCTATGCTCTAAAGTAATCTTTTCTGGTTGGTTTTGTTTTACTCAATTTTTTGCCCATCACTGTATGTTGGCAAATGAAACAACTTCTTCGAATGTACATATTTTGTATAAGGTTACATTTATTTTTACGTAGTGAGAGACAAACTGAAAAGTACAATGGCTCAAAAGAAAAAGAACTGGAAAGAAATTCACCTAAATCATTACCAAACTTACTCATCGATGATAAATGAATTCTCATTAAATGACACACACACACACACACACACACACACACACACACACACACACACACACACACACACACACACACACACACACACACACACACACACACACACACACACACACACACACACACACACACACACACACACACACACGTACATACATACACTGAGGTGTAAATATTAAGATGAATAGCTCTCAAACAACAATTCTAATACACTTATTTTGAATATACATCTGCACAGGCTTCGCTGCGCTAACCGTACACGATGACACTGCCGCAGCTTTCCACACTGCTTTACACGCACCGAAAGAGCAGCCGTAATCACAACGCATCCGGTCGAACGCTGAAGTAACTCATGCGAGAAGCGTTTGTTAAAATCGACAGCAACACACCTACACTGTTTAC